ACAAAAGAGATAAGAGCGTCCCCATCTCTCTGTATCTAGTATGCATTTTTATTTACTGTTATTTGCATTTTCTGGGGGAGGGTAATATTTTCGGGGAGGATAATATTGTAGAATTTCTGAAAAGTAATTTGTCATCATTTTCTCCAGTGTCACGTCTTCCCACTTTCTGCTGTAACTTGCCAGCCCTCCTCCACGGAGAGATAATTTATGAATTATTGAATTTTGCTCGCATCCAAATAAACACAAAACAAACATGTGTCTCTCTCTCTCGACTGGGCAGGGGTGTGAATCACTCGCGTCGTTTTGTTCAGCCTTGCTGTGCCGCACGCCATTGGTCTGTCGGCCTGTCAATCGCCGCTCAACTATGACACCGTATTACATCATACCCAGATGAACACACCGCTCAATATTCCTTGCGTGTTTGGGGCTAAACAACAACAAAACCGAGGAGTAGAATAGGAATAGCATTAAAAACACCCTGTCATGTTTATGTACACTCAGTCGGCGGTAGAACAACACTCGCCTCGCGGCGGGAGAAGCAGTGTGGCCCTGCCCCCTCTCAGCCCGCCCCTCACAGAGCTTTAATTGGTGTGTGTGTGCGGAGGGAGTGCCGTGCGCCACATGCTGCGGTCGCTCAGCATGCTTGCGCTTTCACTCACTAAGAGCCTGTCAGATTAGGCTGTTGTTTATCACACAGCCACAAGTGTGTGCATGTGTATGTGCCTGTGCGTGTGTGTGTGTGTGTGTGTGTGTTTGTGTGTTTGTGCACTTTTGCTTGTTAACAATGGAAAGTGCCAAGTCTGTGTTCAATTATTGCATGTGTGTGCATGCACTTACCCTTATCTAAAAAGCCATTTGTTTGTGACTTCCATTTGTTAAAAATGGAAAGTGCACTTGCATATGTGTGTCTTTGTGTGCACTGCAGTGTCATGCATGTGTGTACTTGTCTGTATATTTATGTTTATGTGTGTATGCTCACTTTTGTTCATTAAGATGGAAGGTGCATTTCGATGATCCATTATTGTGTGTGTATAAGTTTGAATTTACTTATTCATGTTAAATGCATGTGGATGTTTTATGTGAGTGTGTGTGTGTGTGTGTGTGTTTATGTGTGTGTGTGTGTGTGTTTGCGTGAGTGTGTGTGTATGTGAGTGTGTGTGTGTGTGTTTATGTCAGTGTGTGTGTGTGTGTGTGTGTATGTTTATGTCAGTGTGTGTGTGTGTGTGTGTGTGTGTGTGTGTGTGTGTGTGTGTGTGTGTGTGTGTGTGTGCGTGTGCGCGCGTGTGTATGCGTGTGTGTGTGTGTGTGTGGGAATATGAGTGTCCATGTGTGTATGAATACATGTGTGCTGGTGTCAGCGAGAAGGCTACAGATTGCTCTTTTATTTTCTAAGTCATGTACACGTTGCACATCCCTCTGCTTTAATCCAGCCGCGGCTCCGGGCCCCCAGGGACCCGGCGGAGAGGCCACACATGACAGACCCTAAGCCTGTGATTCAGATTAAAGAATGGGGGCTGTATAGCAATCTAAAGCCCTGCGACGGGGTGGCAGAGACTTCAGCTGGCGCGGGCTCACAGCAAGTTGCCTAAGAGGATTTAAAAAAAACAAAAAAACACTGCATTTTTTTTAATTTATCTACAGAAGCAACATAACAGGAATTTTCTGGAAGGGGTTGGGTTCGCCTGCCTGTATGTGTGTGTGTGTGTGTGTTTTTCTTATCGTCGTGTTATTTTCTAAATGGGTCAACAATATACCAGGCGCTATTTTGAAGCAATTATTATTGACTGTGAAGGCTGCAATAGCTGATTAGCGCTGCGCTCACTGGTTAGCAGCGGCGTTGAATATGCTAATGCTATGCTAGCGCTCCCCGAAGGGTCCGGCGCAGTGGCTCATTTTTATTAGCGATGCTATCTCAGTGCTTCAGATAAAAGTGTCAGCCAATGTAAATGATGCAAAACTAATCCCATAAAGCCGATTGATCAGTGACTCTGTACAGGTATCAACTTATTGATTTTTTGGTTTAGTCTATAATGAATATTAAGTGTGTTTGGACACTAATTGTCTCATCCTTATCCCACTGTGTGTGTGTGTGTGTGTGTGCTTGTGTGTGTGTATGCATGCATGCCTGTGTGTGTGTGTGTGTGTGTGTGTCCCTGCAGGTCTGAAGGTGCGTGAGGTGATGATCAACGTGTCACGGCAGCAGGTGGAGGACTTCCACGGGCCGGAGGACTACTGGTGTCTCTGTGTGGCCTGGAGCCACCTGGGCACCGCCAAGAGCCGCAAGGCCACCGTACGCATCGCCTGTAAGGACCCAGTAATAATATAATAACATACAGCATACATCATAGCAACAAACAACAAACGACCAGGAAAGCTCGTGTCGAAGCCTTACTCAGATTGTTAGAGAAAACTAACTATCAGACTTTAGATTAACATTTAAAGTCTGATGGCAGACGAGCTCAAATCTAGGAACGGGGCGTTTCATGTTCTTTTGCTTTAAATGTATTTCGACCAATCATGTTGCTGGGGGCGGGGATCTGTAGACGCGCATTACATGGAATTGGTCTCTACTGGAAACAACCTGACCGGCGGAGCCACAATAAACGTGATATGGCCGAAAATAAAATAAAAAAAATCTCGGCTCCAGAAGAGGGCTGATAACTTAAACGATAGCGTTGTCTTCCCATTGTGGTATCCCTCCTTGGCCAACAGCGAACACAAACTCGGCAGACAAAGTGTGTGTAAAGGTTTCAAATTAAACCTGTGTAGTAGACTGGCCACTGTAGAAATACATCTGTTAAAATCGTCTTGTGGAACCTCCATCTTGTCACTCAAGTTTATCTGCAGAAGAATATATCCGTAACAAAACAGGAAACACTGCGTAGCTCCGCCCCTCACACTTGGCGGTACAGTGGTTTCTGGCCCGGGCGCTGTGCAGTCTCCCCCCATGGTTCAGCTATAGTATAGTCCAACTTCTGCATCCAAGATAAGACTATACAACATAAAAACATAAAAAATGAATTAAAACAAATATAAAACCTTCACCTTTTAATTGAGTTATTGAGTTATTTTTAGAAACTAGTATGAATCATTTGTGTAAAAGCCTTACAAGGTTTTATTTGTATTTTTAGTTTGAGTTTTGGTTAAATGGTGAGTGTATGAAACTTTGACAGTATAAAACCTTTCTGTTGAAGTCTAAACAATTTCTAGATTTTAAGATTGAGCGTGTTAACATGGACATAAATCACCTGATTTCCCACTGCTGAAAGGCAGGAGGGAAACAATTTAGTTTGCCTTTTAAATGGAACAGAACTCAGGCAAAATATCGTTATAAGAAAGCTGATTAACAGAAAAAACTACAATGTTTTGTGCCTGAGCGTGTTGTTACTATTTGGGTTTTTTTTAACATGTTTTTTTCACAGATAAAAAATACGATAAAGTAAACCGGATAAAAGAAACTCACAAGCAATAAGCAAAACATCCCCACAGGAGCTTTTAAATGTCCTGCTACTTAAGAAGAGAAATCAGACTATTGCATATCCAGGCACCCTAGACTACATGCAAATACCTCAAATCAATTTATTGGCACAAAGCGATTATCCCCAGTAACATTTTCCCACTTGGGTCCAAGGAAGTGTGCACGCTGGTGGAGGAAGTGTTTTTAATGTGTCCTCCGCGCCCTTGGGAAGTAGATTCGGTACAGGATAACTAAGCGGTCCTCTACACGTAGACGGCCTGTAGTCCATCTGAACAACTCAGTCGGGGGGATAAGGGAGGACCAGAGCTGTCCTGGTGGGCTGGGGTCCGGCCTGAGTACCCTTCAAACCACCTTCTCTACAGATTAGCAGCTGCCGGCCCCTGAGGGCCCCCTTCTCTCCTCTACCTCCTCCTACCCCAGACCGGCTCTGAAGGTCAGCCCACGCGAGTCCAGCCGCGTGCGGACCGACCGTTGGCTGTGAGGGGAGACGGAGACTGACCGCAACGCTTGACACTTGATGACTTATCTCTCCTTCTCGCTCCTTCTTTCTCCTCTCTTTCTCCTCTCTTTCTCCTCCTTCTCTCTTCTTCATCACTCCTCCTTCTCTCTCCATCTCTCCTTCTCTCCCCATCTCGCCTTTTTCTCTGCATCTCTCCTTCTCTTCTACTCTTTCCTCATCTTCGCTTTCTCTCTCATTATCTTCTCCTTCTCTCCTCCTTCTCCCTCTCATTCTCTTCTCCTCGCCCTGCTGCTCCTCTCCTCTACTCTTCTCTGTCTCTTCTCCTTTTTTCTGTCTCTCTCCTTCCCTCCTCCTTCACTCTCCTTATCTCCCGCAGACCTGAGGAAAAACTTTGAGCAGGACCCTCAGGGGAAGGAGGTACCCATCAAGGGGATGATCGTTCTGCACTGCCGCCCCCCAGAGGGAGTGCCCATGGCGGAGGTAAGCCTGTCCGCTCGCCCTCCATACCCAAGCTACAGACGGTAGAGAAAGATTAAGTCTCACCGAGCTAGAGAGGGTCGAGAGACGGTAGGTGTCCAGTGAACAGAGAGCTGTTGGGGTTCACTGAGACCTGCGGTATCGTCTCCTCTCTGCTGTGTCTTCGACTCAGAGTTGAAGAACCTCTTTTTAACAAGTAGGCGCCGGATAGTCTAGCCATCCACAGTCTACCTGTAGACAACTAGCCCTTTACACCTGCACAATAATGAAATGTATCTAAAAGAGTGAGGGGATTTAACATTCACAAGTCGCTTTGGATAAAAGCTAAATAGTGAATTTATTTCATACATTTTTTTTGTGTGCATGATGTCATGTACATACTTTATGTGTATATATATATATATATATATATATATATATATATATATATATATATATATATATATATATATATATATATATATACATACAGGAACATATGTAATATTCCTGCATATATCCTGGATATAGATTCGATTCCCTGTCTGGCTCAACTGGTAGACCATGGCATTACCACTGCCAGTGTTAGGGTTTATATCCCCTTTCTAGCTCAAGTGGTAGAGCAAGGCATTAACACTGCCAGGGAAGGGGTTCGATTCCCACTGGGACCACCCACGTTAAGAATGTATCACTCACGGTATTTGAAGACGCTTTGGATAAAAGCATATATATATATTATAGATCTGTATCTCATTTACAGTCCCTGTGAGAAATATTTCAAGTGATGGCATATTACAGTATAAAAACTTAATTTCCCAGAAGCCCTCTTGCCTTCGAGCTGAAAGCTACTTGAGTTCTTTGGCACCACGAGCATTTGTTTTGAAGAGGAAACGGTTGATTCAGGACAAAAAAACACAACAACAACGTTGTTTGGGAGATGTATAGCCGTTGGCAACGTGTCAATGATACCGGCTCTGTACTTGTGTTTCCTCCAGTCTGTTTTTGCTGTTATTTGATCTATTACATTTACCAGGAAAACCTAACCTGATGTCAAGAATCAAAAACCCCTCCAGCTAAGTTCACTACCCAGCTTTCCCCTAAAGAAAGATTCTCCGAGAGGAAACCTGCGTTTTATGGTAGAAACGGCAGCCAAAAGTCATGCTGAATGAACAGCAAGACAACGTTTGTGTGTAATTATACACCCATAACCTCATGAAAGACTTGTATATCAGTTACAGAGATGCATCCAAATGAAGTTGGCAGGGGTGGGGTAGAGGACTGCCAATAGTTGTCCAGTAGGGTCTTTAGATACGTGGCGTGGTGCTCGTAGTCGGGGGTGCAGTTTAGCGGCGTAATTGATACGAGGGTTTGGGCCGAGGTCAGCGTCCAGACGTCCGACTTTATGAAATATTAAAAGTGGAAATCTAGCAGCGATAGCGTTCAGGTGTTTCACAATCTGCAGTGCAAAAATAGTCAGTGTCACAGACAATACCATGCTCTCTCGCTCCCCCCCCCCCTGCCTTTTCACTCTCTCTCTCTCCCCCTCTCTCTATCCCCCCCACCCCTCACTCTTTCCCCCATCTCTCTCTATCCGCCCCCCCTCTCTCTCCTTTGTCAACGTAAATGAGAGCCGCGGTGAGAAGAAGAAGAGGAGGGTGAATAATGTACAGAGGCGAGCCAAGGCCAGGATTCTCTTCCTCAGGCAATCTCTCTCCAACGCACCGACGCCATGAAATATTAAGATGGCAGCAGCCCAACGCAGCGATGGGAAGGTTTAAAAGGCCGACTCCAGGACAGCTACCAAACATCTTCCTGGGTTTTAATAGATATTGAGGTTGTGTTTCTTAACCTGGTTTGAATAGATATTGAGGTTATGTGTCGTAACCTGGTTTTAGTAGATATTGAGGTTGTATGTCGTAACCTGGTTTTAGTAGATATTGAGGTTGTATGTCGTAACCTGGTTTTAGTAGATATTGAGGTTGAGTTGTATCCTTGTTTTAATAGATATTGGGGTTGTATGTTTTAACCTGGTTTTAATAGATATTGAGGTTGTGTGTCCTATGTATGTATGTATGTATGTATGTGTGTGTGTGTGTGTGTGTGTGTGTGTGTGTGTGTGTGTGTGTGTGTATGTATGTATGTATCTATAAGTATTTCTCTCTCTCACTATCTCTCTGCTTATACTATTATAAAGATATCCTCATGGAATATAATATATCATGTACCCTTATCTAATAGATCACTTGCACAGCGTAATAGAAACCCTGCCCTGCCCTGCTAGGTGCAGTCTTAAAGGTCATAGCTTCTAATATGGATTATAGTATTATACCACTATGGGCAAAAAGAAGAACTTCGCTGTTTTTGGAAATACCAACATATGCAAATATGTTATCCAAGGGCAGGCTTATAATTATTAATGGTTAAACTAATGAGTTTAGTTCATTGTTGCACACCAAAAAACAAATCTATTATCATTATCCAATATTTTATTTTGTTCGTCCACACCAGGAAGTGAGAGGACGCAGTGCAGAGGACTCTAGCCGCAGATTGCTGCATAAAGACCTCCCTTTGAACAGTTCCTCTCCAAACTTTCCTGAATGGATCTTTTTAATCCGCCCTGAATCCCCTGGATCTGGCCCCGCTCAGGTGGGCCGGCCCGGGGGACCGGGGGGCAAATCCTCTAGAAGCTGGAGCTCCTCTCTACAAGATGTACATTCAGCACCAACCACCACACCCCCTCCAACCTCCCTCCAGCAGCAAACAATGCAAGCCTACCACAAATAGCTTCTGACTCTCCTTCTTTGCGTCTACTACCAAAGATAGTAGATAAGAAAAGATAACCCATTCAAAATAGCACCAGTGGGGTGAAAGTGGAACAGTTCGATTTACATTTAGTTGCGGCCTCCTAAGTGGACGGGACCTTTACACTGGCGCTATCGTTAACACTGTGACATCGCTGGACCGTTTGTTTTTCTCTGGATCTACAAGTCAGAGAAACATTGCTTTATTGTCAAAATGTTCAGAACACCTTCAACTTGTAAGAGAAGGTCTGATATTTGCCTTGATTTCAATGTTAAAGAACATAATAGCCACATACGACCAACACCTCTACATTTCCTATTGGAGTGAATGGAGCCTGGGCCGCTCTAGTCTCCTAAGGTGGGGGGGCAGTAAGCCCACCAATGCCGCGCCTTGTGTAGCTCATGTGACATATTACAGGAAGTGAGAAGACCTGGTTAGCCTCCTTTTGAAATGTCTCTGGTACTACATATATTTAATCAACTGATCAATCAAACTTTATTGATCTAGCGCATTTTGTGCAACACAAGGTGCTCCACAAGGGAAGCAACGCAACAAAAGCAAGAAGTACACTGAGTTTAAAATAATAAAAACATTAAATAAAAAATAAAAAAGGAAACACAGACACACACACTCAGACTCACATACACACACATACACCCATACACACACACACACACCTGAGGACCCAGGAGCTTCTCCTATTTATTTTCCATAGAGATAAAACCAACTGGGGTGAATAGTAATGTAGCTGTAGCCCCCCATGGGGCATGGGTGGTGGGTAGCAGGTAGGGGGGTTGGGGGGCGGTGGACCACCACACCCCCTTCTGCGTGTCCTCTCCCTCCCATCACTTTCCTGATGAGCACCCCGGAGCTGGGGAGCCAAGCCAGGGTGCATCGAGCGCACCCCATCCCCTCCTCCCTCCCCATCCCTCCCTTCCCCTCCCTGTCCCTCCCCGCTCCCCTGCTGCTGCCGGCACTTTTCTCCGTGTTGTGTGTGTGTGTGTGTGTGTGTGTGTGTGTGTGTGTGTGTATTTCTGTACATGTCAATCTATAAACTAAACCCGTGGGCGAGTGTATTTTTTGTTATTCCCTGTCTTTATCATGCCTCTGGTGGTGTGTGTGTGTGTCTGTGTGTGTGTGTGTGTGTGTGTGTGTGTCTGTCTGTCTGTCTGTGTGTATATGCCTGTGTGTGTCTGTCTGTGTGTATGTCTGTGTGTGTCTGTGTGTGTGCTTATGTCTGTGTATGTGTGTTTGTGTGTGTGTGTGTGTGTGTGTGTGTGTGTGTGTGTGTGTGTGTGTGTGTGTGTGTATGTCTGTATGTTTGTATGTTGTGTGTGTGCCCATGCATATTGTCGATAAGCAGCAGTATCTTCGATGCTCGGGGACAGATTATCTCATGTGCCCGGGTGCTGAGTCTCCTGATACGGGGCACTCCTGCTCCCTAGGGGGCAGTCTCACTTACCTAATCCATCTAACGAATGTCACAGAGATATTAGTCAGTACAAAAATAAAGCTTCTCCCTCAGGCGTCTACCTGGAACCGCCCACTAACCCCATAAAAGGACACACATGCTTAATATTGATACTGTTAAGGCCTTAAGCATGTACGATGTGCAGTCATGCAGTGTACCGCATCATATTTGCACAGTGTCCTTTTATACCTTCCAGGTATGTCATACCTTCCAGGTATAAAGGCGAGGTGATGATGGTAGAGGTGGTGCCGGTGGGGTTGTGTATGGGGATGCAGGTAGCGGCGATGGGGTGGAGGTAGTCTCGCAAATCAGACTTTAGATTCATATCTAAAGTCTGATGGCAGACGAGCTCAAATCTGGGTGAACAGGCCGTTTCACTTTCTTTCGCTTGATATTTGTTTTCGACCATTCATGTTGCTGGAGGCGGGGATCTGTAAGCGCGTAATTGGCAAACACAAACTCGGCCAGCAGCAGTAAACTGTAGAAAAGTGTCTGTAAAGGTTTCAAATCAACACTGTGTAGACTGGCCACTGTAGAAAAACACGTATCAAAATCCCCTTCTGAAAGCTTCAGGCTCTGTGCCGTCTCCCCCAAGAAGTTGTGCTATAACATAGTAGGACTGCTGGATCCGAGATTAGGGTGGAGGTGGAGATGGTAGTGGTGGGTATGCAGGTGGTGGTGGTGTAGGTTGTGGTGCGGTAGAGATAGTGGTGGGTATGGAGCAGGTTGTAGTGGTGATGGTGGTGTTTGGGTGAAGTTAGGCAACGCAGTGGGAGGCGGTAAGGGGAAGGTGGTGGTGGTGATGGAGCTTGTAGTGGTGGTGATGGAGGTGGTAGTGGTGGTGATGGAGGTGGTGGTGGTGGTGATGGAGGTGGTAGTGGTGGTGATGGAGGTGGTAGTGGTGGTGATTGAGGTGGTGGTGGTGATGGAGGTGGTATTGGTGGTGATGGAGGTGGTAGTGGTGGTGATGGAGGTGGTAGTGGTGGTGATGGAGGTGGTGATGGAGGTGGTAGTGGTGGTGATGGAGGTGGTAGTGGTGGTGATGGAGGTGGTAGTGGTGGTAATGGAGGTGCTAGTGGTGGTGGATATAGAGAAGGTGGAGGTGGTGGGGTGAAGCCAGACAGAGCAGTGGTAGTGGGTATGGAGGGGGTGGTGGTGGAGGTAGTGATGGTGGTGGTGATGGAGGTGGTAGTGGTGGTGATGGAGGTGGTAGTGGTGATGGAGGTGGTAGTGGTGGTGATGGAGGTGGTAGTGGTGGTGATGGAGGTGGGAGTGGTGGTGGTGGTGGTGGGGGTGGTGGTTGTGGAGGTGGTGGAGCAGGTGGTGTTGGAGCAGGTGGTGGGGTCGGGGTGAGGTCAGAGCAGGGGGAGGTGGTAGGGCGTCTGTCTGATCTTCATC